ATTGTGTCCGTTATTATTAAGAAAGTTTAGAAAATTTAGAAACGAAATTTTTGTGCAACAAGCGGAGAAAACGAGCGTTGTAAAAAGTACCAGACGGGAAAACTGGGTAATATTAAATTCCCATTTAGGTCATATGCCCCTTTCGCAATACCCGACGAAACGACCAAAGTCGGGTTTCGTTTCATTTTATCGACCCTCTAAAAAGAAACGCAACCCGAAAAAATATAAAAAAATTCGGTGACAAAATTTTTCTTGTTCAAAATTCATAAAGTCTATTGATTTCTCTCTTTTAATATAGGGGTTGGGGAACTTATTCGGTTTAATCCCACGTAAAATTTATGCCCCCAATACGAGCCCATAACCACCTGTACTCCGCTCACTTGATTTATATTGCAGTCGTTTCCGTTGCATGCATTCCTATAAAAGAGCTGCTGCTTTTGCTGCCGCCTTTTAGATCGTTTCTGTTGTTGCACCATCTGCTTTTCAAGTGCTTTAAAAACCACGAACGCTATTATCTTCAAATAAGAAAAAAAGAAAGCGTTTGTTTCCTGTCAGTTGCTTTTACAAGAGACGATAGCTTTAACTTTTTTATCTTCACCACTTCGTTTAGTGCAGATAAAAGGTTTATTGCTTGTCTAAGATAAGTTAAGTCGAGTGGTTTGATGGGGGGATAAATAAAAAGGATTAGGGGTGGATTTTTAGAATTGAAATAATTTTTTTGCATCGTATTTGTTGAAATGTTGGTATTAAATCTGATTGAATAAATACGTTGCAATAAATGCGCGTAAAAAAACAAATTGAGCGAATAAAAATAAACGTGTTGAGAATTTTAAATTAATTTGAAATCGAACAAATATATTGGTATGGTAAACAATTATAAAAAACAATTTCAAATAAAAAATACTTCTATATATGTATAAAATTGTTTTTATAAAATTTGTAGTGTAATTAAAGTAATAACGAACGTGAGTCTAAAAGTTGAACTTAAAATTCTTTATACGAATACATAATTAGTTCGTAAATTTTCTTCGTAATTACTTTTTCGAGTTTACATTCGAAATTGGAAGCGTTTAATCGCGATTCAAAAAAAAATCCCCAAGGAATTTCGCCGGAAGAACCATAGGGCAGTTGAAACGAACTAAACTTTTTAAGTATTCCCTGCCAAAACTCGGAATTCATTTACATGCTAGCCAGATGTCGTTAGGGGAAATTTTTGCCAACTCCTAGTGTTCACATCTTAATTTCGAGTCACCCTCGGGTTGTTGAAATGACAAAAAAAAGGAAAATTTTGTATGGTAATTTTACTTTTATATTTTTTCATAATCGTATGATAATATCGTGGGGTTAATACAAAAACTGGTTAAGTCAAATCCCCTCCCAACCTCACAATGTAATCAAGGTCGTTTGTGACCGAGGCGCTACATCAATCTGTCAATTTGTAACACCCCCGCTTAATCAGGCAATATAATCGATTCTGCTCCCTAATATCTCTTAATATCACCTTATGAAACGAAATATCTTAATAATTAGGACATATTCTGCTGCTGGTAGAGTGAGGAATGCCACGCAATGTTTAGACACATCCTTAGGGACATTAATTATACAATAATTATATCAATAATAAAGGATTATTCTTGTAAGATCCATTAGTTTATTCCTTTCTACAATTCAAACTATAAATTGTAGATTAAACAAAATCTAATGGCGTTCTAAAACTGTCATCGAAACCTCGCTTAACGGTTTCAACGATCTCGAATTAAATTATTGACGAATAATTTAAAGAAGAAAACGTGTCTCATCGTTTGTGGTACTTTGTAACCCGTTGTGTTAAAAATTCAAGGATCGTTTTAAGAAGTGAACAGTTGAGGGAGTAACAAAGACGCGGCAGATGCCGTACCACTATCTCTAATCTCTTTAAGTAAAATTGAAAAACTTTGATGAAAGAGTAATGGGTCGAAGAAGAGCTTCGCGAGTAGAAAACAATTCAACCCCACCAACTTTTCGCTTCACCTCAACGATTTACGATAAGAATAGAGGTTTTAAAAGTGTTGTCGGATTTTTAAAAAGGATTCGCTATGAATAGGATTTATTTAACCACTAAAATGTAACCATTACTAATTCCAGATATTAAAATGAAAATTTTCGGGTAATTATCACCCTGTTTGGGGTTTATTCAACAAAGTGACAACAATTATGTTATATAAAGTTGCCATTTTTCAATCGTAAAGTCAATAAACTTTTCAAAAACTTGAAAAGAATAAGATTTTCGTAAAAATCAGAAAATTTTAACATAATTTGATGTATCACACTCTATATTTATCATAAAATTAACTTTTAAAAGCAAAAAGGCGCCATTTTTTAGTGTTTTGTTTTCGGCCATCTTGGTTTCATAAAAACAAAGATATCTTGGGTATTATAATACTTAGATGAGTCGAGTTTGGACTCATTTTACAAGTTTTTTAATTGTCTCCAACAATAATTAAGAATCATTTGTTTTCCGCCATCTTGGATTTTATAAATAATTAAAAATTAAAATATCTCCGAAGGTTTAACACCAAAATAAGTCGTGTTTGGGTTCGTTTCAAATGATTTTTCACAAAGATTGAAAATATTTAAAAATTAAAGTTGACATTTATAACCGGAAGCCACGATTTTTCAGATGTTTTTGAAATTAAATTGCTTTTGTTATCATTTTCAGAAAATTTTAACCTTATTTGATGCATCACACTCTATATTTATCATAAAATTAACTTTTAAAAGCAAAAAGGCGCCATTTTTTAGTGTTTTGTTTTCGGCCATCTTGGTTTTATAAAAACAAAGATATCTTGGGTATTATAATACTTAGATGAGTCGAGTTTGGACTCATTTTACAAGTTTTTTAATTATCTCCAGTAATAATTATGAATCATTTGTTTTCCGCCATCTTGGATTTTATAAATAATTAAAAATCAAAATATCTCGGAAGGTTTAACACCAAAATAGGTCGTGTTTGGGTTCGTTTCAAATGTTTTTTCACAAAGATTAAGAATATTCAAAAATTAAAGTTGACATTTATAACCGGAAGCCACCATTTTTCAGTTGTTTCTGAAATTAAATTGCTTTTTTTATCATTTTCAGAAAATTTTAACCTTATTTGATATATCACACTCTATATTTATCATAAAATTCACTTTTAAAAGCAAAGAGGCGCCATTTTTTAATGTTTTGTTTTCGGCCATCTTGGTTTTATAAAAACAAAGATATCTTGGTTATTATAATACTTAGATGAGTCGAGTTTGGACTCATTTTACAAGTTTTTTAATTATCTCCAGTAATAATTATGAATCATTTGTTTTCCGCCATCTTGGATTTTATAAATAATTAAAAATCAAAATATCTCGGAAGGTTTAACACCAAAATAGGTCGTGTTTGGGTTCGTTTCAAATGTTTTTTCACAAAGATTAAGAATATTCAAAAATTAAAGTTGACATTTATAACCGGAAGCCACCATTTTTCAGTTGTTTCTGAAATTAAATTGCTTTTTTTATCATTTTCAGAAAATTTTAACCTTATTTGATATATCACACTCTATATTTATCATAAAATTCACTTTTAAAAGCAAAGAGGCGCCATTTTTTAATGTTTTGTTTTCGGCCATCTTGGTTTTATAAAAACAAAGATATCTTGGTTATTATAATACTTAGATGAGTCGAGTTTGGACTCATTTTACAAGTTTTTTAATTATCTCCAGTAATAATTATGAATCATTTGTTTTCCGCCATCTTGGATTTTATAAATAATTAAAAATCAAAATATCTCGGAAGGTTTAACACCAAAATAGGTCGTGTTTGGGTTCGTTTCAAATGATTTTTCACAAAGATTAAGAAAATTTAGAAATTAAAGTTGACATTTATAGCCACCAAATTTTTCAGAAAATTTTAACCTAATTTTGATAAGAATAGAGGTTTTAAAAGTGTTGTCTGATTTTTTAAAAATGAATAGGGTTTATTTAAGCACTAAAATATAACCATTACAAACAAAGAGAAATGCATTTTACTATTCCAGCCATTAAAATGAAAAATTTTGGGTCATTATCACTCCGTTAGTAAGTTTCTACAAATTCATATTTAACCAAATGAATTTATGAGGAAAATTTGCGTCGCTAATTCTTAAATATTATAAATTTAAAACAATATGTTTATAATTTACAAGGTGCATCATCACCGCATTGTGCTTAAATTAGATCTCATCAGAACACGTGTATACAAGAACGGTCTTCTCTTCGTTGCATACCAACTGACAAACACCGTACGTGCATTGTTCCAATTAGTAGCTATGACGATGGCACGTGCAATTCAGCTCTCGTTTATTAAGATCGAGTTAGCCCAAGCTTTGGACAAAAGCTCTACAACACACCTACGAACGAAGGTAGCGGATTCCGCCTACACACGAAAGCTTTTAATTACGAAATGAAATTGTGCTTTAAAATAAACGTATTTATGTAAAACAATTTTTTACACAACGATCCATATGTGTGTTGAAGTTGTCGTGTTTGAGGGGACAAAACGTTTTAGAGATTTTTCGTTTCGCAGAACGATATAGTACTTATAGAGAAACTTCCAAACCAGACGACGAAGTCGTTCGACTTTTCGAGGCATTAAGAATTCGGTAGGATTCTTGAAACGTGTGAGAAAGTTTATAACAGGGCGGTTTATTTCGCACGATTTACTTCCTTCCTATTTTATGGAATTCAATAACCACTTTAACTTTAGTTTTCTTTCAACAAAGATGTTGTGATCTTTTTTATAACTATCTACAAGGCCTTAAAAATCCGACTAAGTGGCACCAATATATATAAAGTTTCAAAATAAATTTTAAATTTGCATTAATTCTTAAAAAATACACGAACCGTCTAGACATAAAGATACATATCATTAAAACCGACGATAACTCCACCTATATATACTCCTTAACAATTCCTTTTGGGCCATTCCAAGAAAGTTGTCGTAAAAGAGTGAATGATGAAGAAAATTACTTTGCTGTTATTGTTTTGTGTGGTGTTAATTATCGACGCATTTCCTTCTGATGAAGTTTCTCCCGACAAACCTCCATCTGATGAAGTAGCAAAAATAGAAGCAAACACAGAACTAAATCAACCGATTGATGATATTGGTAGAAGAAGACCAACTCCTCCGCCTACGATCGAACTGAATATTGTGGAAGGATGGGAAGATGCTTGGGAGCTTGAACAGCATGAAGAATGTGATGCTGAAAGGAATCATGATGAAGATCATGATGAAGATGAAGACGAAGATGAAGACGAAGATGAAGATGAAGACGAAGATGAAGATCATGATGATGATGATGATGATTAAGATTCCGAGTTTGATAAATATAAATAAATTTGTAACGATTTATAAAATTTATTAACATCTAAAGTTAGAAAAATAAAATTTAACACTTTTTAAGTTCAACTCGAAAAGAAATACTTGTTTGTAAACTAATTTCAAGTAGTATTCGGGGTCGAGACAGTATTGGGAACCATAAATTCGTTAGTTCAGCAGTTTGGACCTACGTTGAACTAACATCGGTGACGGGTAATCGTTTATTTAACGTAATTACACTCCCAAAACCCTAAACCAAAGATTATTCGGGGTTTATTCAACAAAGTGACAACGTGCGACAACAATTACGTTATATAAAGTTGACATTTATAACCGAAAGTTGCCATTTTCTAATCGTCTAGTCAATAAACTTTACAAAAACGTGAAAAGAATAAGATTTTCGTAAAAATCAGAAAATTTTAACATAATTTGATGTATCACACTCTATATTTATCATAAAATTTACTTTTAAAAGGAAAGAGGCGCCATTTTTTAGTGTTTTGTTTTCCGCCATCTTGGATTTTATAAATAATTAAAAATTAAAATATCTCGGAAGGTTTAACACCAAAATAGGTCGTGTTTGGGTTCGTTTCAAATGATTTTTCACAAAGATGAAGAATATTTAAAAATTAAAGTTGACATTTATAACCGGAAGCCACCATTTTTCAATTGTTTTTGAAATTAAATTGCTTTCGTTATCATTTTCAGAAAATTTTAACCTTATTTGATGTATCACACTCTATATTTATCATAAAATTCACTTTTAAAAGCAAAAAGGCGCCATTTTTTAGTGTTTTGTTTTCGGCCATCTTGGTTTTATAAAAACAAAGATATCTTGGGTATTATAATACTTAGATGAGTCGAGTTTGGACTCATTTTACAAGTTTTTTAATTATCTCGAGCAATAATTACGAATCATTTGTTTTCCGCCATCTTGGATTTTATAAATAATTAAAAATCAAAATATCTCGGAAGGTTTAACACCAAAATAGGTCGTATTTAGGTTCGTTTCAAATGATTTTTCACAAAGATTAAGAATATTTAAAAATTAAAGTTGACATTTATAACCGAAAGCCACGATTTTTCAGATGCTTTTGAAATTAAATTGCTTTTATTATCATTTTCAGAAAATTTTAACCTTATTTGATGCATCACACTCTATATTTATCATAAAATTCACTTTTAAAAGCAAAGAGGCGCCATTTTTTAGTGTTTTGTTTTCGGCCATCTTGGTTTTATAAAAACAAAGATATCTTGGGTATTATAATACTTAGATGAGTCGAGTTTGGACTCATTTTACAAGTTTTTTAATTATCTCGAGCAATAATTACGAATCATTTGTTTTCCGCCATCTTGGATTTTACAAATAATTAAAAATCAAAATATCTCGGAATATTTAACACCAAAATAAGTCGTGTTTGGGTTCGTTTCAAATGATTTTTCACAAAGATTAAGAATATTTAAAAATTAATATTGACATTTATAACCGGAAGCCACAATTTTTCAGTTGTTTTTGAAATTAAATTGCTTTCGTTATCATTTTCAGAAAATTTTAACCTTATTTGATGCATCACACTCTATATTTATTATAAAATTCACTTTTAAAAGCAAAGAGGCGCCATTTTTTAGTGTTTTGTTTTCGGCCATCTTGGTTTTATAAAAAAAAAGATATCTTGGGTATTATAATACTTAGATGAGTCGAGTTTGGACTCATTTTACAAGTTTTTTAATTATCTCGAGCAATAATTACGAATCATTTGTTTTCCGCCATCTTGGATTTTACAAATAATTAAAAATTAAAATATCTCGGAAAGTTTAACACCAAAATGGGTCGTGTTTGGGTTCGTTTCAAATGATTTTTCATAAAGATTAAGAATATTTAAAATATAAAATTGACATTTACAACCGGAAGCCACCGTTTTTCAGTTGTTTTTGAAATTAAATTACTTTTATTATCATTTTCAGAAAATTGTAACCTTATTTGATGCATCACACTCTATATTTATCATAAAATTCACTTTTAAACACAAAGAGGCGCCATTTTTTAGTGTTTTGTTTTCCGCCATATTGGATTTTATAAATAATTAAAAATCAAAATATTTCGGAAGGTTTAACGCCAAAATAGGTCGTGTTTGGGTTCGTTTCAAATGATTTTTCACAAAGATTAAGAATATTTAAAAATTAAAGTTGACATTTATAACCGGAAGCCACCATTTTTCAGTTGATTTTGAAATTAAATTACTTTTGTTATCATTTTCAGAAAATTTTAACCTTATTTGATATATCACACTCTATATTTATCATAAAATTCACTTTTAAAAGCAAAGAGGCGCCATTTTTTAGTGTTTTTTTTCCGCCATCTTGGTTTTATAGAAACTGAGATATCTTGGGTCTTATAATACCTAGATGTGTCAAGTTTGGACTCATTTTAAAGGATTTTTAATTTTCTAACGTAATATTTATTAATCATTTGTTTTCCGCCATCTTGGATTTTATAAAAATTTTAAAATAGAAATATCTCGGAAAGTTTAATACCAAAATAGGTCGTGTTTGGGTTCATTTTCGTTGAATTTCGAGTTAAATCGTTAACCGAAGATTCAACAAAGTGATAACGCTACGACAATTACGTTACTTTTATATCAAATTTAGGTGTTAAAATTGGATAATTCCGTTGAAATGATTGCATTTTTATTGCGGACATAAAACGAGAAAGTAATCTTTTTGTAACTTTTTGGAGGCGATTCAAAGGAGCACGATTACGAGGGAATATCAAGCAATAAAATTTTAGTCTCTGCTGGATATTAACTTTCGTGGTTTGAATTTAACTCGTTAATGGGTTAGACTTAAAGTTGTGAAATAATAATCGAAATAAATGACTAAAACAGTGAAAGATTAGGTGTCATGACCACAAAAGTCGGAAATATTTTTTTCAATTAGCTTTTCCCCAAACACGACGAGGTAAATCTGTCTTTTCATAAAAATCGGAACCCTCTTTTCCCGCTTTTCCGCCCGCCTATTGTCGGGCTTTTTCAAAGAGGCTAAGAAGAAAAAAGAATTCTAAACATATTTAAGACCTTTTGTGCTGACCCCTAACCTCCGGTCTTTGATACACGTGCAGCTTTGAAGTAGTTAATTATTTTGACGAATTTTTTTGGGGCTTCTATTGCTGGAGATTTAATTAATTAATTAGCGGATCGTTAAAATCTCGAATTGAGTAAAGGAGATCGCAAAAAGGAAAGTTGCACTGTATACGTAATTAGAAGGATTTCGTCGTCGAGCTTTGTAGTTAACGGCAATCGCGAAAATGCACGGTAATGGCAATGGCCATAGTTAACCCGAGCTATAAATAGGAATTACCCAGTTAGCGATAGGAAGGATGGTGGTGCAACAGAAGATCGATACTTAACAAAGCTCTTTTGTACTAAATTACCACACAAAAAAAAATAAACCCCAATAAAAATTCAATAACAACCCAAACTAATTCATTTTACATCCAAAAAAGGGTGTTGTTAAAGAATGTGTAAAAACACCAAATCCTAAATGGCATTAATCAACACCGTAATGCGTTATACCACCAAACGCTTTGTAACTACCGTACGAAATGGGCTTCTGGCAATCTACCAAAACGCCGGCTAATAACTCGATGCATTAATTGCCTCCCAAGTGTTATTCCACATTAATTCAGGAGAAGTTATGGAAGTCCTGAAAACCCGAAGCTGAACCAAACTCACCCGAACCAACGACCTTCTCTACCTTGTTATCGCTTCGTACATTCGCGTTTCCGCATGCAAATTGACATAAATATGGATGATATAACGCGGGCACATCACAATGGGTGAAAAATTGTTGATATACTGATGAGATTTTTTGCATAAAAAAAAATTTTGGTTACTTTTAGTTGGAAAATGTTTTGATAATAAGTTATGAGAGTACTGTAATCAGTTCAATGCTCTCTTCGTGATGAGAAGTAGTAAAAGTTGATGACCCTAGGTGTTCAGAGCCACCTGGCTAAATTAGCCAACGCCTTTAAACCTCCACACCTCAAAACTTTATATTAAAAAACAAAAATGTTAAGCAGTGCAAATTATAATCGATTAAAAAAATTTGTATATTCAAATTAATTAAAATAACTAAGATTTTTGTAATAATCAGAAAATTTTAACCTAATTTCATGTATCGCACCCTATATTTATTACAAAATTAACTTTTAAATGTATAAATGACATAAATAATTAGTGTTTTGTTTTCGGCCATATTGATTTTATAAAAACAAAGATATCTTGGGTGTTATTACACCTACATCGATCGAGTTTGGACTTATTTCACAAGTTTTTTAATTATGTATCGTAATATTTATGAAACCATTTTCTTTTTCGCGACACCATTTAATAAATTTTTCTAAAATGCCAAAAAGTATAAGATTTTCGTAAAGATTGGAAAATTTTAACCTAATTTGACGTGTCACACCCCATATTTATCGTAAAGTTTACTTTTAAAAGCAAAGAGGCGCCATTTTTTAGTGTTTTGTTTTCGGCCATCTTGGTTTTATGAAAACAAAGATATCTTGGGTATTATAATACTTAGATGAGTCAAGTTTGGACTCATTTTACAAGTTTTTTAATTATCTCCAGTAATAATTATGAATCATTTGTTTTCCGCCATCTTGGATTTTATAAATAATTAAAAATCAAAACATCTCGGAATGTTTATCGCCAAAATAGGTCGTGTTTGGGTTCGTTTCAAATGTTTTTTCACAAAGATTAAGAATATTTAATAATTAAAGTTGACATTTATAACCGGAAGCCACTGTTTTTTAGTTGTTTTTGAAATTAAATTGCTTTTGTTATCATTTTCGGAAAATTTTATCCTTATTTGATATATCACACTCTATATTTATCATAAAATTCACTTTTAAAAGCAAAGAGGCGCCATTTTTTAGTGTTTTGTTTTCGGCCATCTTGGTTTTATAAAAACAAAGATATCTTGGGTAT